TTTGTCCAAGTGCTCGTATTTCTTGGGGAACGCCAAACACCTGTCCAAGAAATTGATAAACTTTGCATGCTGTAGTCTGTCGTCTGGCCCGTCTTCCTCGTCGAAATCTAAAACTGGGACTGATGACCACAGCCCTTCCCATTGCTTGCATAGATAGCTCATGCGGATGGCAAGTTTTGTGGGAAGGAATTGGAGGACGTGGTGGATTACGAGGACAGGTAAGTGAGGTATTGTGGCGGTGGCCATGGAGTTTTGCTTTCCCTTCAGATTATTCTTGTTTGTGTTTGGGTGATTTGGGATTTTTCTGGTAGCCATAATCGATTTCTTGTAGGGATTGTTAACCTAAGTTTCTTATGGCTTTATATACATTGGTATCATATATAGCCTCTCATCAATCAGGGAATTAATTAATTAATTATAACAATTCTAGAATCACTAGGAATCCTTCTAAGGTAAGAAATCAACTAATTACTAATTACTAGGAATCCTTCTAAGGTAACAATTATAACAATTCTAGAATCACTAGGAACTAATTACTAATGTACTCCATGGCCGTGGAATTTGGGTTATCATCTTCTTTTTTGATCTTCTTATTTGGTTTTAGACGTTTTCTGTGTGTCTTTCTTTTCGTAGCCATAATAGAAACAAACTTAAATTAACCCCCATACTTTTTCTTTTTAAGTGGTAAACCATCTCAAACATAGAAATTTAGACAGTAAATCAATTTAGAAGAGAAGTGTTCTTTGTTTTTCAACAAATGTTTGGTCATGGTATTTGAAGACTCTCTCCAACAAAGTCGAGACGTCATTGGACTATATGGTCATGTTAATTACTTGGTAAAATGCTTCCCTCCACCACATAGGGATTGAAATTTCTAAAACAAAGAAATCAACGAGTTCAACCAAACACATACTGAGTTTGATTCTTCCAGTCATATATGGGCTCACTGCCATGCGAACGCCCGAGGGACTAGACTTGTGGTTGTGTAGAAAATGTTTCGGCGGTTGTATTCTCTCCATTGAATAATTAGTGTCCAGATTTAGGTCACGATATTGATTCGAAAACACAGACATATGCATCGAAGAACATTCAATTTGCCAAGTATAAAAGTGTGCGTTTTATGTATGGCACGAGAACATTCATTGCATCATATTTTCTGCCACACAAATTGCAGCCACAAGAGACCCTGTGTGAAAAGAAAAAGAAAAAGAAAACAAAAGAGTGATAAAACCTACAATTGCGTTTCATCTTATATGAAACCAGTCTTCCAAGGAGTGATAAAACTTTTCCTTTTTCAAAAGGGTATATAACAAGGATAAATTAAGAGATTACAATGTGTCCGAAAACGAAACAAGGCCAAATTAAAGACACCAGGAGCATAGGAAATAAATACTGCACCATCAGAGACCAGAATTTAGCAAAACTAACCAAATGTCTACCATAGACAACCACCAAAACTGAGCCAAATTGCACTATCAAAAGGATTCAAGACTGCAAAACGAAACTTTAACAGTTCCATTCAAGATGGCAAAAGTACACGAAGTTAGTGTCAAGCACTCGATGGAAGGGCACCGTGAAATTAAATTGGAGAAAGCCCGGCGACCAAAGTGCACAGTTTTGAGTGACAAAGTTTTCACAGATGGAAGGCTTATGGGATGAGAAGTGCTGTCATCAGTTATTCTCAAACTCTCCAAATTTAAGGTTGTTATAGATTTTGCATTAAGAATGGTCTTGGATAGGCAATAGTATTTGAATTTAGGTTTTCTTGGAAGACTGATCTCTAACACTTTGACGCTTCTCTCAATTGCAAAGCTCAACCACTTTTCTATGTTTCTACTTTTCCCACGGTATCTCATGCGAAGCCTGAACTTATCCAAGGACTTGTCTCTCTCACGAAATTTCAAACACCCTCTTAAGAATTTAATGAACTTCTTCCGTCGAAGATTTTCGAGCTTTTCGTCGTTATCATAGGGCTCGCCCTCGTCAAAATCTAATACGGGGACCGAAGACCATACACCTTTCCATTGCTTGGAAAATATGCTCACGCTCACGGCAAGTGTAGTGGGAAGGTGTTGGAGGATTTGGTCGATAACAAGGTCAGGAAAGCTAGGTATTGTGACGTCTTCTCGGTCACGATCGTAATCATCTTCCCTTGATTCATAGTACTCTAGGGTTTGGAGCTTTTTACTTGAATTTGTGTTTTCTATGGGAGTTTTTCTCTTGGTAGCCATGGTAGATTGAGCATGAGTTTTGAATGTTTTGATGAATATAAGAAAAAGCTATTGTGTTTGTAATGGTAGAATGGTAGGAGACCAAGCTCCAACTAGAAGTCTTTAAGTAATAAAAAACCAAATAGAAGAACATATATTAATAAAAATTGTAAACTTATCAAAGAGAGAGAGAGAAGGTGTGTGTTAACATTACGCAATCAGAGAGAGAAGAGAGCAGAGAAAGGAAGAAAATGGAGAAGAGGAAGAACCAATAGGAGAGAGAAAGAGACCAAAGTAAGGAAGAAAGTGGCGAAGAGGAAGAAGCGCAGAAGGTAATGATTGATTGCCAAGGAAGAAAGCGCCAAAACTGACCTTTTTCGATCAGATTTTTTCTGGAAATTTGTAGAGAATATCTTGGGATTCTGCTGATATTTCGAGGAATAGTAAATGGATAATTAAATAAAAATGGATATTTGTGTTTGACTTGGGTGTGTTTTGTCAACAACTTTGTACGAGGTTTAAGCATTGACCTTTTCAAATAGGCAGACGTGTCGTGAAAGAGTCCTTTGTATAATAAATTAATAAAACGGAAACTTGGAAGTAAATCCTATAAGATATTATTTGAGTTCAAATTTAATAAAATTTTCTGACTCCTATTACGATATTATTTTTCAAAATAAAACCAAAAAAAAAAAATAATAATAATAATAAATAAATAAAAAAGGTTTCCTACTCCTACAAGGATTCTAGCCTTATAAATAAGACCTCCTCTATCTTTTCTCTCCAATATCGTCATTCATTCACAATGGCTTACAAGGGAGAAGCACGCAGCCGCAACAAGCCAAACACAAACACAAGGCTTCGGAAAAAAAAAATTGTGGAGACAAAAGCCATGGCCTCAACAAGACCTTATAATTACTTACCCGGTCTCATTATCTACCATATCCTCCAACTCCTTCCCACAAAAATTGCAGCCCAAGCTAGCTTTGTTTCCAAGCAATGGGCAGAGGCATGTTCCTCGATCCCGGTGTTCGAATTCAAGGAGGGCGATCCATACAATCATGATGGAAAATTCAGGCTCCGAATGAGGTACCAGGGAGATGCGAAAGTCCTAGATGCATGGTTGAGATCTGCAGTTGAGAGAAGCGTGAAAGAGTTAGATATAAGCCTTCGAAACGTACCGACCGTCAAACCCTACTGCTTGCCCCGAACCCTTTTTGATGCAAAGCTTTTAACCACTCTCAGTTTGGAGGATGTGAGAATAGAGGACAATGCTGATCAGCCTATAAGCTTACCATCTGTAAAATCCATGTCCTTCAAAATGGTGGACTTCGAGGGCATGGCACTTTCCAACCTAATTTCAGGCTGCCCTTGGATCGAGCATTTGTCCTTAAATTTATGTGACCTCGGCTCCTGGACTTGGAAGCTCAAAATTTCAAGTTCGAGTCTCAAATCCTTCGAAATTTTCGATTGCTATTCTCGCCACATTGAAGTTGAAGCCAAGAATCTTGAGTCTTTTAAATTTGATTCAGACTTTGAATTGCTCGAGAGCATGGCATTGTTTGATTGCACCAACTTGAAATGCATTAACATCTTCAGCCAGCACCTTCAACACCTCATATTATATGCATTGTGCCAAAACAGTGTCGAGGCAACAATTAACACTCCAAATTTACATTATTTTGATTTTAGTGGATATTTGATGGCTAACGTTTCCATGGCTCCATTGAAATATTTATCGGATGCAACACTCATACTTTTGGATCACATCAGAGGGCCCACCTTCAGCTTGCCATTGAATCATTTTTCTACTCTCAGAGATTATCTTGAACACTTTGATTGCTCCAAAAAATTGAAACTTTACATTCATGATGCTGAGGTATTTATACACATCCAAAAATTTCATTTGAGCAATAAATCTATACATTTATTTAATTTTTTTTTATTAATATAATTTTATGGTGTTTAATTGTGTAGGGTGTCATGTTTCCAGAAGATTTTAGAGAGGCCTTCCCTTCACCATTACCAAATCTCAAGCATCTCAACATAGTCATGAATTCCGCAGTAGAAGGGATAAAGTCTGAGTTGATGGAGTCCTTGCATTGGATGGCACCTTCTGTAGAGAACCCATCAATAGAATCCCTAAGTAGAACAAATTCGTCCAGTACAATTACATGAAAATAAATTGTATTAATTTATTTTTTTTAACACCAAATAAATTGTATTTATTTATTTTAATACCAAATAAATTGTATTAATTGAAGGTGTATAGTAATTTACAATAAATATAAATAAAATTAAAAGCATTTTGATAACAAATAGTATTAATTGAAGTCCTGGGTTCAAGATATAAGACAATATGTTTTCATTGTTTCAGTTCAAATCTCATGGAAGTTAGTATGCTATGACCCCTCTCAATACTCAATAGGAACGATCTTTAAAAAAAAAAAAACCAAACAAACTAAAAACCATTTAATACATGTAACCAAATTAAAAGCATTTTGATAACAAATACATTTTGATATAATCATCCATCCTGTGAATCAAATATTGTGTGAGCTCTGTTGCACCGATATGGAAGTTTTTGGGGGTATGCTCGTATCCGATACGGTACTGAATCTGATACACCACATGGCATATTGTAGACTTTATGGCCAATTGACTTTACGATACGGCTCCGATACTCCATCGATACCCTTGCGATACGTCAAGGGGTAAAAGCGAAAACATTTTGAAACTTTGGGGGTGATTTTGAAAGTTATTGAATATTTGGGTTTAAACTTTTGTCGAGAGGCTAGCTAGATCTTTTGGGCGAGCGATTTAGACGGCAACCAAAAAAGGAGGAGGAAGAAGGAAGAGAGAGAACCCACCAGCAATCGCCGTCGCACCCATCGCCATCGCCGTCGCACCCGTCACCATTGCCATCGCCATCTCAGATTCATTTGGTTGGGTGGGTTTCTTACGCAGCTTAAGGTTTTCTTCTTATTCTTTTAATAAGCTGCTGTGTTGTTAATGAATTTGTTTATGTTCTTTAGTTAATCTGTGAAGTCGGAATTCTCGAAATATCAATTTTATGCCCTAATATTCTCATCTGTTGTAGTTTGTCTGATTTGGAATGTTTTTGGATTTAATTGTGTTCTGTATTATGTCTTTCTTGAAAGTAATCAACTTGGATTTCAATTTATAGGGCAAACCCAATCCTATTTAACTCAGATAATTAAAATGAAGAAACCTCGAAGCACAATCTCCACATCAAGCAAAATAAAGTTCGAAGAATCCAAATCTTCGTCTTCATCCGAAGATGTAAGTAATCAAAAGTAATTTTTTTTTTTTAATTGCTATTATAATTCTTATTGTTGTGAAGAAGAATCAATTTTTGCATTTGATTTTCATTATATTTTATATTTATAATAGGAGGAGGAGATAGAGCAGGAGCTCGCAGATGTGACATTTGGAGAACTGCAAAAGGCCCGCTCAAACGGGTCACATTTAGTTCACCCAAAGCCCAAAGAAGAGAAGAAGGGTGGCCGGGCGAACAAGAACCGGTAATTTGAGCATACATTAGATTGTTTCCTGTTGGTTCTTGTTGGGTTTTTCGTAATGCAATTGAAGAGCTGAATATGTGTGTGTATGTTTGCTTTTAAAGGCCAATGGAGGTTAGTTGCAAGAAGCCTGTTACAAGATTTCGAGAGATCATTCAAGGTTCGAAAAAGGTGAGCTTTTGATATAAAGATGTTCTGCATTGTGATTTTATGACTTAATTAAGATTCAACCTTATTTGCAGTACGCCTATCTGTTTTCCTATTGGGTTCCAAAGGTTTTCATGAGAAAATATTGATAACTTAAATAGTTTACTATGACAAAAATTGACGATAAATAACTGTAGCTTGTTTCTTGTTTTGTGTTTTTATGTTTTTTCTATGACCTACTTGGAATCAAAACCTGGTGTGTTATTAAGCATGACATAGGGGGATTATGGTTTTTAGTATTTGATCTGGATTTTATTCTTAGGATTCATTTCTCCTAGAAAAGTTCTTTTTGTATCAAAGTAATGTTAAAGTGAGAAAGTGGATGAGCAAAGTTGTGAGTAGTCAATCTATGATTAGAGCTAGGTATTTCCATACCTAGGCAATCATCTTATTAAGACAACTAATGGAGTATTGGAGTAAAGCAGAAGGCTTACATGTACTTCGTTTAGTGTAAAGCTTGAACAATTCAATTAGTGTACTTTGGTTGAAATTATTTCTTGCTATGTCCAGGTGGTACGTGACCCACGTTTTGAATCTTTATGTGGAACACTGGATGTTGATGGGTAGGCTTCTCTCTCTCTCTCCCCCCATTTGTGGTGTGTGTATAGATTACTTTATTTAGGCTTCTCTCCTTTTATTAAAGATGAGTTGCTACTTCTGGCTTCAACAAAATTTATGTTATTTAGAAAATAAAAAAGATAACCTGCAGTCAACAGGTTTAGGAAGAGATATGACTTTCTATTTGCAAACGAGCTTCCTGCCGAGAGAGAGGTAAAATTTCTTAAATATGTTTATGTCTTCAGTTTCATCTCTACATGTTTATTATTTTTCTCTGATTTTTGTTTTGCATATGACAGGAACTGCAGAAGCAAGTGAAAAAATCCAAGGACCCAGAAGTCACTGAAGAACTAAAGAAACACATATCTTGGATCGTAAGTGCTTGACTTCAAAAATATATATTTGATATATTCCCTCATTTATCTGTCCTTGCTATATACTCCTTTTTACTCTCTATTTTGCTTGAAAGAAAAATTAGAGAAACTGGCTCTGTCACTATTCAGTTTTCTTCATTGTTGTGTCTTTTCAGGATAAACAGCTCAAATCTGAGTCAGCCAAGCGCACTGAAGCTGCAATACTGGCCGAGCACAAGCAAAAAGAGAGAGAAGCAGCAAAGCAAGGGAAGCAACCCTTTTTTCTTAAGAAATGTAATACTCTCTTGCGCTCTCTCCATCTATGTGTGCATGTGCATGTGTGTTTTGTTTCAATAGTCTATATTTCCGGATAGTACTTGGCAGATGCTAGAAAAAGCAAAATATTTTAGATTCATTATACGAGGAATTCTAGACCCGTTGACAAGAGAACCCCAAGATCTTATCATCTGATTATTCGAATCCCAACTGTACTTTTTTAACATTTTTAATTATTTGCAGCTGAGATCCGAAAGAAACGACTTATGGAAAAGTATAAACAACTCAAGGTACAGATTTTCGTTTTGTCATGATGTTCAAAATACCTTGTTGGGACTAGTACATAGTCATCATGGCTTTGGCAACTAACGTAATTTTTTTTAAATGATCAGGGATCTGGCAAGCTTGAAGCCTTCATCGAGAAAAGGCGCAGGAAGAATGCTGCAAAGGACCACATTTACATGCCATACCGTAGGCCTGACAACACTGAGCAACAAATTTAATGACTTCACTTGGTTCTGGAGAAGCGGAGTAAATTTTCTTATTCACTGGGTGGCATTGGAGACTACTGGGTAGTGGCATGGTGAGTTTGCTTGGAAAGCTGCAAATTTCAGTACATTTTGAAGAAAAGCACCCAAAAGATTAATTTTTTTTACTATTTGGAATTTAGTTGTCAAATTTGGATGTGGGTGGCAGGGTGCCAAAGAGTAATTCAAATAATCTTTTTATTATTCGTAGCTCCTATATTTACTCGCTATTTCATTCTTTCAAATGCAATAGTGAAACAAAATTTTAAAATAAAATAAAATAAACTCTCACCCTCTCTCTTCCCCACCCAGCCAACCCCAGAGCTCTGATGAAGGTAGGAGCCTTGCTGCAGCTGGGAGAGGACTAAGGAAGAAGGAGATGGTTGGGTGACGACATTGTTTTCAATTATTTTTTTTTTAACTATTTTTAAATACAAGGAATTATTTATTACTGTTTTGCCCATATAGTGTCCACGTCATTAAAAAAAAAAAAGGATCTCATGTCTGACACATCAGCATTTAATGGACTTATTAAAGGTTTGTGTAACGGAGTGTGTAAATTGTAAGGGTTTAAGTATGTACTTGTAAATATCCTAAAGGTGGGTGTGAACGTGAAAATGAGTTTGGTGGGTCTTTTACCTTATAATTACAAACTTAAGAGAATGGTGACCCTTAGAAAGCATAATTCTATAGAGAGTTTCAGTTGAGGGATCCCTTAAATAATTATTTGAGGGACACCCTTGTATGGTCCACTTCGTATTATATTTCACTAATCTAAACCGTCTATTTTGTAGATATTCATCCAAATATCATTTTTATAAAAAATCGCTTGAATCTGATATCATTTGACCACTCAACTGAATTATTGAAATTTAGTACGTTCTTAAAGCACTGTGTTCTTTAATTTTGTAGGACACAATTGGATATCGAAACCATTTCCGATTTGTCTAATTTTTTGCAAGAATAATCTATGAATGTAGACTTTAAAATAAAAATTAAAAATTAAAAAAAAAAGAAGACTGTTTAGCCAAAAGCTAAGATCAGTAACCTCAATTAAAACTAATCCTAATTACGAAGGAATCTAAAATTTCCTATAAATTATATGGTTTTCTGTTTGCAGGGAAATAATAAGGTGTATGGAAATGATTGCTAGGAGAGTAGTTAAGGAGTTAATATTCATTTAATCACTGTGACTATGATTATTCAATCACTCTCAGTGGTTATATAAAATGATAACCCTTTTCATTATTCTCCACATTCCCATCATATTTTCTCCTCACTCACTTCTCTTTGTTCAAACTTTTATTAATGGGAGCCAAGTGTTTCCCGTGTTTCTTCCATGCAACACTTTTATTAGAGCATCTCCACCCACAAGGGCTAAGTCTAAGGCAAGGGCAAGCAAGGGCTGCCCCCCATCCTTTTGATTGGGGTCAGCCTTCCATTTGTGGTTCCACCCATAAGGGCAAAGTCTAGGGCAAGTCTAAGGCAATTACTATTCATTGTACTTTATTTTTTTTTTTTTTATACTTTAAACTATTAATTTTGATAATCTTTTGTAATTAAATTTTTGGATAAAAAAATATTGGATGTAGAAGAATTGTATGAAGATTTGGTGTGGAAAGTGAATAATGTGAGTGGAGACTAAAAAATATTGGATAAAGAAGAATTGTATGAAGATTTGGTGTGGAAAGTAAATAAAATGGTTAGGTATTTTATAGGGAAAACATAATTTTTTTGTATTTTTTTTAAAAAATTTTAGAATTTTTTTGCAATTTTTTAAGCCAAAAAAACGAGGACCGTCGGATTTCTGGAAAAAAAAATTGATCGGAGCGTTCCTGTCGCGACACGTGGCACAACGGTAAAAAAAAATTGAATTTCCTTGCGCTGACGTCACAAAACTCGGGCTGAAGCCCAAGTAGAACTTGCCCTTGGGCCTGCCCGGGCTGGTGAGACTTAGGGCTTGCCCGGGCTGCAGGTGCTGCGCTGGAGTGCGAAACTGGGCTTTGGGGGGCCTTTTGCCCGGGTTATTGTCTAGCACTGGACATGCTCTTATGTGCTTCTTGAAAAACCACCTCAAATGCTTTTGAATCCCACCAAAGCACTCCTAGATTACTTGGAAACGGCTTTTAAAACACTCGTGTTTTTACTAATTTAAAACACTTTTTGGCAGCTCCAAAAACACTCCCAAACGTTCCTAAATTATGTCAATCATCCTTCATCATTAAGGTTTTGCATCCTAAAACTTAGGTGGATATCAACAGGTGTTAATCATGTTAAAAATTGTCAAATTAGAGGCCCCTACTCGTTTTGTCCACAACCACCCGGGCTAATTAGAGCATATCCATTCATTGTTCATTACGCTTAATCTTTTTGACTCCAATATTAAAATCATATCTAAAATAAATGTTTTCATTTTCCTTCCCTTCGGATAATCCACTAATTTTTTTTAGTGCAGTCCTAACCCTATTCCCACGTGCTAATAAAAAAAACGTGAAATTCGTGCTCCCAATTATTTTACTCCCGAAAAGAAAAGCGCACATGTTGTATTCTCACAAATCACCTGAAAGTTTCCTCTTCCAGTACACGTGGCAGTATGTGGTAGGGCTTTCAGAATATTGAGAACGCACATGGTATATTTGATAAAAGCTGATTGGTACGTATGGATCCCACAAACAAAATTAGACTTTAGAAATAATACTAATTTTGGTTCAATTTTACAAGCAACATAAATGTGATTTTCTTCTAAAATTGATCACATAAATGTTAAATGAAGAACAAACGAACTTGTTTTAGTCCCGTACAAAGCTACAATTTTGTCTAGAAAAAAATAAAAAAATATGAAATTTTATGTAATTTATGCCTGAAAATAAATTGGGCTCAAGCGCTTTGAGCATTTCCAGAATCCGAGGAATGATCAGTGGCAAAATCCATCATCCTCATCCACTGTTGGATTTCGTCTTCTCCAATCATTTCCCAGAATTCCTTTTCCTTTTCCTTTTCCTTCCCAATTTCCGTCATTTCAATTTCCCGAGAAAATTCGCTGCTTGTCACTTGCTCTGTAACTACCTGCTGGGGCTGTGCGGGCTGTGCTGAATTGGTTTCCTGGGTCAACAATGTGGTGTCGGGAAATGGAAAATTGAGCTTTGCTCTGGGTCCACGGAACTCGATCGCGGCCTTGTCGTAGGCCCGGGCCGCCTCCTCCGCCGTCGTGAATGTGCCCAGCCAGACCCGAGTCGCCCGTCTCGGGTCTCGAATCTCCGCAGCCCATTTACCCCAAGGCCTCTGCCTCACTCCTCTGTAGTTCTTCTTCACCCTCTTCTTGGGCCCCTTTTTGTTATTGTTTGCCTTTTCCTCCTGTGCTGGTGGCGGGAAAAAATTGCACCCGAGACAGCCCTTAATTTTGCACACGTTGCAGGTGTCCAAATCGGACTGTGTCAATAGGGCGTCGCTGTAGCTGCTACTGCCAGTTGCGCCTGCGTAGGAAGTGGAGGCGCATTGTAGTGGGGGGAGGAGGGAATTGAAGTCCATGGAGGCGGCAGTGGAGGTGCCAGCGACGACGTTGCGAAGCGCGGAGACGATGACGGTGAGCTCTTGGTCTTGGGTGAGGCGGCGAGGCTGCAGCGGCATCGGAGGCTCAGCCGGGTGGATGGGCTCGGGGTCGTTGAGCTTGGGTCGCTTGTAGGAGGATCGCATGTTGTCGTAAGAGAAGAGAGGAGATAGTGTGTAGTGGGAAAGTGTTTGAAAATTTTTGCGTTGAGTTGAGAGAGAGAGAGTGGTGGGCGTTTATATACGAAGGGGTAGGGTGACGTGGACAACAGCTGTTACACCGTTTAAACACGCAGTGTGGTCGTACACGTGGGGAATTTTGTGGGTTGTGTTTGTGTTTTTATATGCGATGCGGAGGAAAGCGGAAGTGTACAAGTGTCCGAGCTGGACGGACTGTCTCTTGGGTTAACAAGTGAGCTAACGCTCACACGCGCCGTTTTAACAGCGGAAGGTGACCTGGGCTTTAAGATATCTCAGGATAGGGACACGTGGCAGTTTGAGAAGTAGACGGGTTCCGCTATACGACAGGGTTGAAGTTTCCTTTTGCTTTGACGACCAACATACACGTTAATGATTACATCATCATCGCGGACAAATGTAAATCCTGACATGTTGTCCCTAGCTAGATTTATGAGGATGGACCTATTCAACCGTACTTGAGTCAACATGGAAGAAACTTCGGAAGTTTTATACAACCCTGCTTAAACTTTTTCATAGAACATAGCTTGATTATTTTTTATACAAAAATTACAACATGTCACATATGCACATTTACAATTATAATGAAATGTAAACCAAAGAAGATTGGTAAAATTCCAAGATAATTGATTGATAATAAATTGAACTGTCACAAATGCAACGATACGAGTTGGTTTAGATTAAAAATAAAAAAATTCTAAAACCGTAAGAAATCTTAAGTTCCAGAATATTTTTAAATTTAGCTCATAAAAATTATATCTAAAAAAAAACGAGTAAAGTATCCAAATATTAAAAGAACGGTAAATTTTATATTTGAGCTGATGGTGTAGTGCAAGTACAACCAACTCAAAAGTCCTCATGTTAATGGATTGCGTTAGTACGATGACGTAAGCAACTTTTTTTATTTTGTTTTATTATTTGGAGATGGACTTAAAGCAACTTTATATACACCAGGAACTTTTCAACATGAAAAAAGAAACACGGGTGTCAACATCACTGATAGTCTTGGCATTTCACACAGCAACACGGTTAGAAGAAAGCCTTAAGGCGCCAGCTGCACTCTCATTCTCACGCCCGAGGTCAATCTCTCTCCCTCCACTCGACTGCCAGAGGCTGAGACAAGACAGACAGACAGACCCCACCAAAACTTTCAACATTCATTGCTGAATTGGATTTGCCTCGTAAAGGAAGGAAAGTTCTCAAACTTCCATCCCTGCACACTATAGTGCGTGTGGGACCACTCCTATTCCTGAGGTGTGTGTGTGTGTGTATGACCGCACACAAGAATCTCTCACATTCAACACTCATTCATTTCTTTCTAGTTTTCTTTAATAATGCGTGGCAAAATGATTATCAATTGTACACCTGTTTTGGCGCCCGTTATCAATGTCAGTCACGATTGAGATTTCCCTCCGTCTAAAAGCTGCAATTTAATCAGTTGGCTACACTCAATTTTGATCGAGTTTGGTAGCCAACACGTGTATGATTGATAATTTTTCTACAACAAGATCTAGATTTAAAGCACGACGTCACACACACACACTAACGGATTCATTAAAGGTCCAGAGAAGATCATGTTCTTTATGGTCCCAGATTTTAATGAGATTTCGTATTGAATGGGGGTAAGCTTTTTGATAAAATGCCTTAAAGAAGACTAAGGCAGGGCAAGGAGGGCAACCTCTAATTTGTACATGGATATGTTTATATGATATGTTTTTTAATATTTTAGAGTCGATTGATCTTCACTATTAGTAGTTCTTTCTCTGTAAAGAAAATTCATGAATCTGCCATTGACCACACATATGATATTTGGCCTTTAAAAAATAATAATAATTCACTAGTGAAATGTTGTGTGTTCGACTCCCTCTTCC